TTTCCTCAGTGCACGGCAAATGCTTCTGGTCCTATTGTCCGTACTGTCCTTCTCACTTTTCCCTTTCTTCTTCAAGCGCTCGGAAGGTCCATGCTCCCCACATTCCAGTCTCTGGGCCTTTTGCTGGTTCCCCTTTACACTCTCCCTTGGTAATATATTTAAAGTGTGAGAATAAACTATTTGGAGGGATTTTTCCAGATCTTTCCATTTTACCAAGGACTGTCAAATTCCTCAAGGTTCCCCACAAAGTCAGCGGTGCTCTCACATGGGAGGAGAACCTTCGCCCTGAGGACATGCACTCCTCAGGAAGCACTGTTCAGGAGGAAATGCCACAGAGATAACATGGATGTCTCTCACCATTCCCAGACCAACATCTGCACACTGATCTGCTATGTCAAGATAGCTTGTTCTCTGCAGCAATGAGCTTTTTGTTCTGTGCATAAGCCAGGAGGTGTTAGACAAATTTGGCCAGGTGTGGTGGCTCACGCCTATAATCCCAGCACTTTGGGAGGCCAAGGCAGGTGAATTGCTTGCGGTTAGGAGTTTGAGACCAGCCTGGCTAACATAACGAAACCCCATCTCTACTAAAAATATAAAAATGAGCCAGGCATGGTGGCGCATGCCCGTAATCCCAGCTACTAGGGAGGCTGAGGCAGGAGAATCACTTGAACCCAGGAGGCAGAGGTTGTAGTGAGCTGAGATAGTGTCACTGCACTCCAGCCTGGGGCAGCTTCAGGAAGCTTCTAATCGTGGTGGAAGGTGAAGAGGGAGCAAGATGTTTTACGTGGCAGGAGCAAGAGAGACAGGTGAAAGGTGCTAACACTTTTTAAACGCCAGATCTCACAATGACTCACTCACTGTCACAAAAACAGCACCAAAGGATTAGTGTTAACCATTTGTGGAAGACCACGTCTACCATTTCATCATCTCCCACCGGGCCCCACCCCCAACACTGGGGATTACAATTCAACATGAGATTTGATGAGGACGCAGATCCAAACCATATCACTGCATATAGCATACAAAAATATATGTCCATTGATTGCATATGTTATTGGTAAGGCTTCTGATCAACAGGAAGCTAGTAGTAGTTATGCTTTTGGGAATTCAAAAGTTTTCTGTAGACTTTCAACTGCCTGGGAGTCAATCCTCCTAGCCCCCACATTGTCCAAGTGTCAACTCTACTTGCCCATCTAAAACAGGGAAATCTCATATCCAATTTCTAGCTTCTCTTAAAAAAAAAAAAAGCATCTGACCACATTAGGCTCCAAATTCCCACGTGGCAAGGTAATGGCCTCTCTCTTTAATTGACGCATGTACCCTGCAGTTTACCATAGTCCCCATTGCTCTCTCTGGCCTCCAGCCTCTAAACCTTTTTGCCTCTTAGTTCCCTTTCCTCCTTCCCTTACTTCCTTCTTAAACATCCTCTTTCCCTGGCTGGGGCTCTCTCCCTTCATGTGCCCTTCAACTTACCCCTCTGCGTGGCACGGTCTATTCATGTAGAATCCTGACTGATGGCAACTCTTCTCCACAGACTCTCCTGACTCCCCCATCACCACCGCCAAGTTAATCCATGACTCTTCATGCTTCTCTGGGACATGTATACCTGCATATATTTACTTATAAACCTTGGGCAGCAACTTTATATTGAGAGACTAGAATACAGCAGACATTCTGTGAGGGACTTCACATATAAAATGCTCCAGGGCAGCACGGAGTACATAGTTTGTGGAAAATGCCAGGATCACAGGTTGTGCAGAGTGTTATGGGCGGATACAGGAAAGGCCACTCCATCTGAACCAGACTTCCAGGAGTAAATGACTCGCTTGAGCTGAGATTTGAAGGACAAGGAGAAATTAGCCTAGCTAACAAGTTGAGGAAGGGTGAATTTCAGGGAAGGAAAGCAGTACTGAGAAGGCACACTAGCCTAAAGTTTGGCGACAAGGTCATTTTTTAATATCAAGCCTAGCATGCTGCTTTGTTTTCACAGCAAGAAATGTAAAAATCAAGGAAGAAGTTTTCACAAGCATAGTCAATGAAAACGGGATGAGGACATGCAAGGCTTTCTCACTTATTTCGGGTTAATTTAGAACCTATTTTATCCAAAGCTTTTCCAAGTTATTTTCTGGAAGTTGCAACGAAATCAAATCTAATTCCCCAAATCTTCTCGTGGGGATCGTTTAGCAAATAAAAAATGTAAGTGAGTAACAATTTCCTTCCAAACTTCCAAATGAAAATTTTTGCCATAATGTCACAAAAATCATTACCTGAATTTATCTTGCAGGCAAATTAGATGATGTTTTACATTCTTTCCCCCATGAAATCACTTTTAAGAATTAAGTCAGAAAGAGAAGAAGCCAATTTTAGCAGCAATTTGCTCGCGCTGTAGCTGGATTTTGGTTAAAACTGCCTGAAGTAAACTTAATACACACTAATATCAGGATCTACCTCTTAAAATTTCAGGTTCCACATACAAAATTCCAACTGGACCTGCCAAATATGCAAAGCCCCAGTGAAAGGTATTAGTTTTGAAAGTTTCAAGTTATTGGCAGCTTACCTAACATTCTGAAAATGAAGCCCCTGTATTCTTTGGCCAAATATCTTTCCTTGTGATAACTTGCAAACTTCAGCATATAACATAGGAACTTTGCCATGAGCATTCAAGTTCTCACAAAGCAAGGCATGTATTCTAGTACTTTCCATGGGATTGACAACTTTGATAATGATATGAACAATTCTCATAGATTGCCAGGCAGGGTTTTGCATGCTTAGCAGTGAATAACTGATTTTTTTTTCCTGTCCAAATCCTCACTGTGGATTCCACATTTTGGAGCATTATTAAATGCACATTCTTATCAATTAATTTTTTTATTATTGTAGTATTTTAGAAGCACGGTCACTCTGTCACTCAGACTAGAGTGCAGAGATGCAATCGTAGCTCACTAAAGCCTCAGCCTTCAGGCTCAAGTGATCCTCCCACTTCATCTCAAGTAGCTGGGACAACAGGCATACATACATCACCATGCCTGGCTAATTAAAAAAATTTTTTTTGGTAGGGACAGGGTCTTGCTATGTTGCCCAGGCTAGTCTTGAACTCTGGACCTCAAGTTATTCTCCTGTCTCAGCCTCCCAAGATGCTGAGATTACTGCATCAGCCAGTACACCTGGTCCTATTATTGATTTTTAATATCTCATTTGTTTGGAAGAATTTTGACAGTGCTTCCAAGATTATTAGGTTGAGTTGTAGCCCCAAAGGCTTGAGAAAACGGCTTCTTTTATTCTGCTTCCTCTTTAACCACCAGTTATGCAGAAACCCAAAGTTCTTGGGGGCAATCAGAAGATGCATCAAACTAATGATAAGAAAATGCAACGATTTGATCTTTTGCAAAACTCAAAGTGTGATATCAGCAGGTAATACATTCTAATGTGTGACTGTAGACTCCAAGAAAGAAAAATTCTGGAATAGCTTCTACATATTCATTCAGATAAACTTGTGGCAGCACTCAGAACACATAGTTCTTTGAGAATGTCTTCAGCATTGTGAGTTTTGTTCTCCAGTGATTAAAAGTGCTGCTTATATGGTTTGGCTCTGTGTGTCAAATTTCATTTCGAGTTGTGATCTTCAGGCGTTGGGGGAAAGGCCTGGTGGGAGGTGATTGAATCATGGGGCAGATTCCTCCCTTGCGGTTCCTGTGATAGTGAATTAGTTCTCATGAGATCTGATGGTTTTAAAGTGTGGCATATCTGCCCTCACTCTCTCTGTCTCTCATGCTGCCATGTAAGATGTACCTTGCTTCCCCTTCACCTTCTGCCATGATTGCAAGTTTTCTGAGGCCTCCCCAGACTTGCAGAACTGCAAGTCAATTAAACTTCTTTTCTTTATTAATTACCCACTCTCAGGTAGTTCTTTATAGCAGTGTGACAACAGACTAATACAGCTACTCTATACAAAATCTTTACAGCCATTACAGCATCTTCTGTATATGTTCCAATATTATTTAATATTGTATATATGCAGAGAATTGCAATCTGTAATAATAAAGTCTGCCCATATAAAAATAAGATTTGTGTAAATTTGATTTAAATCCATTAAAGCTAAGATAGGGCTACATGGTTCCTTTGACTGGTGTTTTTTCTTTTTTCCACGTAATACGCCCTGAGGAAGTTGAATCCCTGTTGCTTGCAGTATACCTGGATCTAACCTTGATTATAAGTGAGTCTTATCAGATTAGTGTGTTTGGGCTGCCATCTTCAGCTGCCTTATAGAAGAAAAATATTAATGAGGGGTATTTTCAAGAGTGCCAAGCTGGTTTTGAAGAGTAATTAGTGCTGCTAATGCCAGTTGCTACATGACTGCCTAGTTTCTTCCCATACCTGAACCCCATAAGCATACTATTTGTTCCTTCTATGAGTACACATATGTTGGAGGTCTAAAATATGTCACCTGTTAGAAACCAAAACCTCAGTATCACACAACATACCCATGTAACAAACCTGCATACATGCCCCTGAGTCTAAAATAAAAACTAAGTTTGGGGAGGGAAAGAGGGAGGTCACTTGTAGCCAGGACTTCCAGACCAACCTGGGCAGCATATCCAAAATTCTGTCTCTACAACTTTTTTTTTTAAATAAATAACCAGGTGTGGTGATGCATACCTGTTGGCCCAGCTACTTGGGAGGCTGAGGTGGGAGGACCACTTGAGTCCAACAGTTTGAGGCTGCAGTGAGCTATGATTGTACCACTGCACTCCAGCCTGGGCAATAGAGTGAGGCCCTGTTTCAAAAAATAAAATAAAATGCTACCTTTTAATAGATACTTATGCAAGGTTTAAAATATTTTTTATGATTCTCTGATATTGCTATTATTTTTTAAGATGGAGTCTCGCTCTGTCACCCAGGCTGGAATGCAATGGCACAATCTCGGCTCACTGCTAACAATTCTCCTGCCTCAGCCTCCCGAGTAGCTGGGATTACAGGCACCTGCCATAATGTCCAGCTAATTTTTGTATTTTTGTAGAGATGGAGTTTCACCGTGTTGGCCAGGCTGGTCTTGAACTCCTGACCTGGGGTAACCCACCTGCCTCAAGTTCCCAAAGTGTGATTTTTAACTTACTGTTGGACTGAACTCCATTGTTAAACAACATAAAGATACATAAAGAAAAAAGAATCATTCCTCCAGCCTCCCTAAAACTAATCCCTCTGATGTAAATCAAGTTATCCATCTATCCTATTCTTCATGCACCTACAAATGTATTCATATTTATATTAACATACACACAAACATTTTATTTTATAAAATAAAATGATATTACATTGTACATTTTCTTGCAACTTGCTTTATCACTTAACAGTTTCTCATAGATGATCTAGCTGGTCCATAGACAGATCTATAACTCATTTTCATTTTAAAGAACACCATAAACTGAGATTGATTTAATTTGCATTAAAATAGAGAATATTTTAAAAATCATACAATATTTCCATCCAGTAACATGGCATAAGTTTTCATTTATTGAGGTTTACTTTATATTCTTCAAGAAAAAAGATTTGCATATAGACACTGTAAACTTTTGTTAATTTTTTTAAGAGCTTTTTCCTTAGCTATTGTGAAGAGGGCTTTATTTTCCATTTATATTTAACTGCTTTTTATGAGTATGGTAAATTATATGATTTGTTGTTAACGACTTCCTTCTTGGTTAGAAAACTATACATCCACGCATGTTGGGTATAATCTGCAGTACCTTCAGAGATGAAGCATTCTTCCTCTCCTCATTTGGGCTGGCCATGGGATTTGCTTTGGCCAATGAATGTGAGTGGATGTGATATAAGTATATCCAAACAGAAGCTTTAAATCAGCTGTGCGATTTCCCTTGGCCTCTTGAGCTTCTGCTCCATGGCATGGAAATGTCTAGTTAGGGGCCGCTTCTTCAGTCTAGATCCCAGAATGAGAAAGCTTGTGAAGCAGACCTCCGGCTGACCCACAGCATGAAGCAGAGTAGCCGCCAACTGTGAAGAACCGGGAAGACTCTCATATTTCACCTTACTTTCAAGCCAACATGTTAACTTGCTAGTTTCATAGATGCTGACTAAAGACACTTGGGTTAGAGACAAAACACTTGATTGTAGTAAAAGCAGTAGTCAGAATATCAGCATGTCTGTATCAGTTCCCTGAGTCTTCATTTCCACAGTGATGATGTGAACAGGCCCAGATGGATGCCTGAACAAATGCTGGGTTACGTTATAGGAAAAGAACATAGAATTTAAAATCCCATCATTTCATAGCAAGTAGTGAGCAAGCCAGCTCTTTGCCCCAGAGGTAAAAATTACCTCCTCTCTCAAGCTTGCTTGCTGTAAACACAACCCTAAGAAAAGGCTGGGTAGGAAATGATCAGGCTCTTGCATGCTTAGCACACCCAGCAAGATATGTAGGAACAAGAGTACCACATGGAGGAGAGTTTCCCAACACGAACCTTCAGCACTCATGCAATGTTAGTGAGAAATAAATGTTTGCTATTGTAAGCCACTGTGATATCAGGATTGTTTTGATACACAACAAAGTTGTAGCTAGTACAAAGAAAATACATTATATTTGTATATTTATCTTGCATCTTGCCACCTGACCCAATTCTCTTATTCTAAAACATGTTCTAATATGTTTGGTGGGTTTTCTAGGTATAACAGTGTCTTTGCAAATAAAGTGAATTGCTCCCTTTCCCAAGTATTTGTATTATTATGGATTATTTTAAGTTTTTTAAACTTTCTGTATTAGCCAAAATCCCAAAACAATTTTGAATAAAATGACGATAGTAAATATGTCATTTATTAAATTATGGTGTCTTACTTCCAAAGCCAGCCTTTGTTACTCTGCTGGTACCTGGGCTGGAACTCCAAATCATTAAACTTCGCTAATAGAGATGCTTCAGGGAGCTCACAAGCTGAAGGAGGAGGAAGAGGCTTGCTCCTTCCTGTATGTTTTTTGGGGGCTTCCTATTTGCCTCTTGTTCTTATGAGTGGCATCCCACCCATGCTGCTTCATCTTGGCAGCAGCAGTCCGTTTCTGTAGCAACAAGTGAACTCAATTAACAGTATTTCTATTTTTGGAAAAACTGCCTCACTGCATCTCCCCCAGAGATACCATCAGCACCTTCTACTTAGAGGTCTGAGCTTCATTTCCATGACAGTCTTTCTCCAAACTCCTAAGCTTTAATAAATCCACCGTCTTTCCCTGATGCCACCCAATCACAGAGCAGTAGCTGTTTTCTGTAGTTCCTATTTCTGTGATCTCAAGTTCTCTTTTTGTTTTTTAGCTATCTCATGAACAATTGCATACCTAGTTAATAATTCTTGATTAAATTCTCTCTGCTAAAATAACTGGTGTGGTTTCTGCTTCCTGACTGACCCCTGACTAATACAGTAGGTATTCCTATTTCCTGATTTTAACAATAGTTGCTTTAGCTATTTTCCTTTTAACATTATGGTTGCTCATTTTGAGTTTTGGCTAATCACTGCTGAAGTTTATCAAATGTGTTTCTTGTATATATTTATAAAGACATATTTTTTCACCCTTAATAAAGTAGGTATTTCTCATAATGTTGACTCATCCTCATATTCCTGGAATATATAGCTAATAGTATACCACATATGTAGCACTTATTACATACATCCTAAAAATTGTATATATACATATTCCCTTAATAAGCCTATATAGACTTATACAGTTTATAAATACAGTTATAAATATGATTTATAAATACTTATAATTTATGTTAATATTGTCTAACTTGTGTTACCAAATATTTATTTGGAACTATGTTCATAACTAAAATTGAAGTATACTTAGAATTTTGTGTCTTGTACTATTATTATTACTTGTTTCCTACCTATCTGATCTCCTGCGTTGAACTGAAATATTATTAAAAGTCAATGCCTTAGTGATATTTTTCTCTTACACAGTCTATATTATAGTATCTTGCACAGAGCACATGATTGATATACATGTTGAATGAATAAACACATGTAATAGATCTGAAAGTAAGCCTTTTAAAAAAATTAGCATTTATTCTGTAACATAAAATTATAATTTCATACATTAAAAACATTCGTAAGAAAAACACTTAACAATAGATAAATTTGGTGTTTAATTAGATTTTTCTGGGCATATGTGTTCAGTTCAGAACTCAGAAATCTTTAAAATTAATGCAGATCCTGTTTCCTTAAATGTCTCTTTACCGAATTTTAAAAATTCTCCATTTAGTTAACAGCAATCATTGCTTTTGTACACTTAAGAGTCACTGTATCATGTTTTATGACACAGATTATATCAAAATTATTTCTTTTCCCAGAAGATTAAAGAAAAATTAGTAGAAGACATGCATCAAGGATTCTTAATGTATAAAACCATTTTCAACAGAATGCTTTTTATTTAAGTCACAATTGGATTTCCATGGTTTGGGGCTTGAGGGTTTCTAAGGTTTTGCTCCTGCAGATTCAAGACTTGTACTAGACGTCAAAGGTTATCATGTTGGTCCTGCAAGGCACTAACTAAAGGCACTGGCAACTATTTACAGTTTAGCTTCGCTTGAGTCCTTCCCTTCAAAGTAGCTATCGATAGGTCTTTGTGATTATGTTTAAGGACAAGACATGTTCTTATTTATTTGGATATGTTTTTAAACTGCATTTTAAGGACCCTCTGTGGGCACAGCACAATACTGGGAAACAAATAAGAAAAGCAAAAATGGGACCGGGAGTGGTGGCTCACGCCTGTAATCCCAGAACTTTGGGAGGCTGAGGCGGGCAGTTCACGAGATCAAGAGATCGAGACCATCCTGGCCAACACGGTGAAACTCCGTTTCTACTAAAAAACACAAAAAAATTAGCCGGGCGTGGTGGCACGCACCTGTGGTCCCAGCTACACGGGAGGCTGAGGCGGAAGAATCGCTTGAACCCAGGAGGCGGAGGTTGCAGTGAGCCGAGATTGCCCCACTGCGTTCCAGCCTGGAGACAGCAAGACTTCGTCCGGAAAAAAAAAAAAAAAAAATGAAAAGCAAAAGTGTGTCCTCTGCTACTCTACTACCAAGGATCTTACAATACAAGGGAGAGACCATGTGCCAACCCAAATTTTATATCAGAAATAACAGCATAGAACAAGCGTTTTTCTTTCAGTCCCAATAATATTAAAAAGAAAAATCCATCAAAATGAAAGGAATAGAGTGCTTACAGGGCACCCTGAAGGTTTTCTTTTTTTCTTTTTTTTTTTTTTCTATTTGTTTTTTGTAGTTGGTTTAATTCCAGGTTCTAATTTCATGTGATTGGGGAGGTAATGATTGGGGATTTAAGATCATAACAACAAAGAACATTTTTCTTATATCCTCGTGCATGTTTGGAAGCAGTCATGTAAACAATAATAATGGGAATTACTTTCTATTTTGAAAATAAAAATGTAAATATTTATTTTTAAATTTCCTTACTACCTAATGTTTATAACTGTAGTTTTTATTACAAAGAAAGATTACTATGTATCATTATTACTGAAGGACAGTACTTTTACAAAGCCTAGGTTGGAATTATTTGAGAAAACATTATTTTTGAATTTATTACATATCCTAAAAGTGACACCAAATGTATTTCATCAGTTCATTTAAGCTTCAGTACCTCAACCTATGTAGTTTCAATGTATGTGCATGTATCATACATCTGATGATGGCAAAAATCTACACAAAGTTCTGAAAACCATGCAATTTTAATGATACCTAAATTTTAGAAGCAAGTGAGGGTATAGAACCACAGTTTGGCTATATTAGTTATAGTTTATATTGCTATTCTTCTTCTTTTTTTTTTTTTTTTTTGACAGAGTCTCGCTGTCACCCAGGCTGGAGTGCAGTGCTGCAATCTTGGTTCACTGCATCTCCACCTCCCAGGTTCAAGCCATTCTCCTGCCTCAGCCTCCTGAGTAGCTGGGACTAAAATCAACATCCTGGGTGGCACCCAAAATCAGCATCCAAAAATCAGTAGCATTTCTACACACCAATAACAACCTATATGAAAAAGAAATTAAGAAGGATTCCATTTACAATAATTACAA